TAAGTAATAAGTCACCCAATCTCTGCCATTCAGTGCCACCAGCTTGTTTTCGTATCCAGTCAGTAAGTGATCGTAGTTGCTGGTCATGATTTGACGTTAATTGTAATTCAACTTGATAAAGTTGATTATTATTATCCATTTGTGTAATTGTACTTACTCGGAAGACAGTATGCATTGACAAGAGCATTTCATCTTCTCGTCCAAAATAACTCTCGTCTTTAATGCAGGCAAATGGTGCTGATTTCAAGCAAGGATCAATGTACATTATGAACAAAATGCCCACCATGTCAGATTTCGTTGAAGCATCTCGAGCAAAACTGAGGGACACTTCTTTAACTTTACTCGTGGACAAAAAATTGTTAAATGACATAAGCCCACCTGCTGCTTTCTGAAGTTTTTCGAAATCTGACTTCATAAGACCTTGCCCTCGATATACTTTAAAAGACTTTCCATTATAACTACTGATCTGTTGTTCATATAACTGTTGAATTTGTCGATGTACATCACGTAGCAAGAAGCCCATATTAATGATTATATTGACGTCCAATATTCGAAGTGCTTGATTAAGCATTCTGTAGCTAAAACACTCGCGTGTATACCACCATATTGCTTGTTGTAGACGATAGTCACGTTCGAATTCATCAATAATTTGTAATTGAGTTGGATTGCCACTAAAAATTTTGTGGCAATAAGCTGCTAAGTTCTTGATCGCCTTGCGATCATAGTTGATATCAAGGAGAATGTCCTTGAGTATTTGTGTATACATAAAGTTTGACTCCAACTGGTTTAAATTATCAGTTGAACTCATTTCATTTATCATAAGAAAACTTACGGGAATTGAATCATGGTCACATTGCTTAACAGTCATTTGCAATGCGTGACATATTTCTTTAATGTTTGTATAGACACCTTTGATTTTTGTCCAGTTTTGTGTCCATCCTTGATGTCTGGATTCATCGCTAGAAAAGATGTAAATTGCATCTAACTGTGGTATGTCATGAATTGCAGGAACCAAATATTGGCCCAATGAATCGGATGTTATCAGGAACGCTTGTTCCTTGTCAATCTTATTGAGTACTTGGACGCATTGATTCGGTTCAGTGCATACGCTGACATCATTGATCACATTCTTCAACTGAGCCAATGTATCTTGACAGTCCTTGTTTGATTGATCGATGTTAGCATCTACCCACACGAGAAGGTAGTTTTCTGCCACACGTTGTCGTGGTTCGCCAGCATAATACGTTGTTGCTCCATAAGAGGATTTAAAGTTCTGTTTGGAAGGTTTTGGGCCCATGATACGTATATATTTATAATCGGACGATAATTCAATGTTGTTGAAGAGCTGAAAAATTGAGGATTAAGCGAAGAAACGAACACTGCTATTTATATGAGAATCAGATCTCTTTATCACAATGGTATGACATCATTATTTATTTTTTATGTTTATTACCATTACCTATAATAAAATCCTGTCCTGTGTATCACTCAGCTTATAACATACAGCAAATTGAGTAGAAAGAAAAAAAAAGAATTAATTTTTTTCTACTTTCTTCACAGATATGAGAGAATATCGTTACTAAAAATCCCATATTTACTCTGTAAATATGCGCGTCAACAGGCTCAGTGCATTTTCTCATGTTTTTAAATCGCATATTGAAATTACACAAGAAGAAAAGTCGAATGACCGTGTTCTTTTCTGTGAACGATCTATAAAATTTGCTCAATCTTGAGAGTGTAGGTGTGGATATTATTTCCATCTCACACTCACACCCACCGTAATCGATAAGATTTCGTTTATTTCAGAGCATAAAATCTGTAGATTGTTAAATTTTATAATACTCTTTATAGAAGTTATTATTTCATCATTATTTACAGTGATTATACTCTAACAGAGACCTTTGAAAAAAAGGATAGCTTTTTCACAAACTATTCTTCTTTAATTACTGGAATATTATCATCTATCGACTGAGTTTTTAGAGTTATCTAACGATATATATTGCGATATTTCCCCGAAAAAAATAAATGCGATACACATTCATGTATCATAAATCTTATCTACAATAACAAATATCGTGTCTTTCCGCGAAAAAGAAAAGATGTTAAAATAACGTCGTTTGTTGTTAGTCAAATATAGACTTTTCCTTTTTCGTCTTTTCATTTCATATTAATAAAAGTACATTTGTTTTCAACTTCCAACATCTACGACTGCATCCATGTCATGTATATTCAATAATCTTATGTCTGTCCTGTATGTGGGAATCACATATAGGACTAATTTATTATACGATCTATCAACTCAAATAACTTTTCAATATTAACTTGCATAAATTATTTAGATCATACATACACTATCAATGACAATCCTAATCTCAATACCAACTATTGTGAACGAGAGAAAACTTGTTAGATGAGCATTGAGACTTTGTTTTGCACAACCCAGTGCGTATCTAATATTTTAACTAGATGAATTCAACCGACTCCAATTATCCAGAGTAGCCTCTTGTAGATGAGTAGATTTTGAGTCATAACTGGACATTATCTTGTATAATATATAGTGTACTGATGCTATCTAGAATTCTCAAATACTCTATAAAACTCTTATCATAAATCTTCCAACAGAAGAGGACAAATAAATACACGCAAAATTCACATCTTATTATTAAAATCCAAATTGAAATCCTGAGATATAATATATGGAAAATGAAAATCAGTCATTTTAGGATCATTTTCTCTAAGCAAAAATTGGATAAAAAAAGAACAAAGATATATTATTGCAGTCATAGGCTTTTCTTTTTATCATGTATATTTCATCATAGTATATTCAATATGAACATATTGTTGCTTACTTGTATAGATTTTTCTAAAGATTATTACTATTCGATATTGATAACAATTATTTGTTGATTCTAATAAAGAATTCAACCCTAAATTAGCTTCTCATGAATTTACAAGAGATTCTATGACTAATTTTATGTTTCGAAATAATTAAAACATGAATTAGCTAAATAATTAATATATGATAGTTTGAAAACTCAATTTCGATAATATAAATTCTTAGAAATAAGAAAATGAAAGGCGGGTATTTGCTTTTTATGTTAATATCCACTGTCATTTCTTATTTACTATATTAAAGACAATGCTTGAAGTACTATTTAAGATTTGGTTTCATATATTCACTAATTATTGTTTATTATGTCAGTCAACATCGATTCTATATCGAACAAATTCTCGTGATAAGAATCTTAACTTAAAAAGAAGTTTATATATATTAAATCATGATGATAATCTTACAACTGATGTTATCACTAAACAAAATACGATAAATAAATTATTTACAAAAATAATTATTATACTTTTAATATTCACTGGTTTTGCTATATTAATAACAATTATTATTGGCTTAATTTTTCTTTATATTAATTGTAGTCGTCCATCAAGAATACACAAACAAATTCGTATAGAATATCTCGATTCTAATGAGATAAATAATTATTCAGATAATACATTGACATCATCAAAATCAGAACAATCTAGTTTTCAAGATATTTGATTATTATTACTGAAATAATATAATGATCTCATACTGTTATCGAAACAATTATATTGTGATGGGTTTCTTCTAGAGAATATTTATTTTCCATTTTGAAATTAAAAAAAAAGAGAGCTAAATTTTGTCTAAGAACTATCCTGATCATCTTTCAAATCAAACACACCATGCACACTTTCTTTCGTATTCTCATAAAATTGTTTCATTTTTTGTATTGGTGCTGGATCATAATCTTCATCGGTTTCTTCACTCGAAGAACTACTATCACTATCACTCGAACTTGATTCACTATCGCTTGAATCTGATTCACTTTCATTTGAATTTAAATCTTCTTCACTAGATGATGATGAACTATCAGTAACGGCTGGTGATGATGCTGCTCCTTGAGCATTTTCATTTGCTTCATTGATTTCTTCTTTTACTTCATCAGAATGTGCAGATTTTGCTGATGATAATAATGTTGCAGCTTCTTCTTCAACTATTTCAGGTATAGATTGAACTGGTGGTGAATGAGTAGTTGTTGTAATAATTTCTGGTTCAGGAGTACGTGGAGTTGTTTGAGGAATTTCGACAATTGGACGAGATGTTGTAACAATTGTTGGAGGTTTTGTAGTTGTTCTTGGTGGTGGAGAAGGAGTAGTTTTAATAGTTGGTGGACGAGTTGTGGTAGTTATTGGAATAGAAGTCGTAGTTTCAGTAGCAGGTCGATGAGTTGTGGTGGTGGTGGTGGTGGCGGTTGTTACTGGAGTAGCAGGTGTGGTTTGAACAACAGGTGGAGATTGTGTAGTTGTTTCTGGTACGGAAGGTGTAGCTGAAGGTTTATTTTTAATTTTAACTTCTTGACCAATAATCTGAAATTTCTTTCTATTTGATTTCTTTTTAGCTTCAACACCAACTAATTTTTTAACTGGATGTTCTTCTTCATCAAAATGTTTTATTTGTTCTTCGTCAGTACGTCGTATAGATGGATGTGATCGTTGTTTCTTTTGTGGTTTCTCAACAGCTATAGTTTGTGTTTTTAATGAAGGTTTATGTGTATCATCAATTTTTTCTTCAACTGCATTTAATTTTGTTGAACGTGAATGAATAAATTGTTTTGCTTCTTTTTCTTTTTTAGTTCGTAATTTTTTAACTGGAATCTGTTTATGTGATTCTGATTTTTTTGTTAATTTTTCTTGAATATCGTCATTATCATCTTCTTTACAGAAAGAAAATGTTACTGGTAATGGTAGAAGACATACAGATTTTCGTCCAGTTGGCAAAAGAGCAGAGAAAATATGATTTGATGCACGACGAAAATATTCCATAAATGGTGTTTCATCAATATCATCAATATTAAGAATTTTTTCAATTGATTCTTCAACTTGTTTAATTATTTTTTCTTTATCTTTTCCTTTTCCTTTTGATGAAGATGGATGTTTTTGTTTTTTACCACGTTTACCACCTTCAGTATCGTGACCAGCAGCATCATTAAGTGCATCAAGTTTACGTCGAATACGATAACTATAGATAAAAATAATATTACGAAAAAACAATGTTGAATAATGAAAAAATTAACAAACCGATATTGCCAGCCAACGGAACGTTCTTCTGGTGTTAATCGTGCTAATGTTGGATCAACTTTTTCATGTGTTGGAACATCATCATGTTTTTTACTTGATGATTTAGTTGATTTTTGAGTTGTTCCATGTTTTTGTGCTTCACGCATTTTCGAAATACGATAACGATATTCCCATCCAACAGATTGTCTTTCAGCTTCTACCGGTTTTTCTTCCGACACAACTGTTGGACTTGCTGTTGTTGTAACTACTTTTTTCTCGCGTTTACCACCAAGTGTTTCCAAATTAAATGGAACTCCAGTTTCTAAATATTTTCAAATAAAGGATATAAGTTCAAATAGTAATTTAAAACTCTCTTTTTCTGTTATTATGATTCATTAAATTTACCTGCTTGTTTTTCTTTTAATTCATCAAGTCGACGACGAATACGATATCGATATGCCCATCCAACATGTCTACCTTCTTCACCGATTTTACGTAATTCAGGATCAGAATCATGTTCCCATTCAATACAATCATCATCATTACTGGCAGATTTACCAGTGCCTTTTTGTTTGTGTTCAATACGTGCTTTACGTTTTTCTTCATTATCATCAACATATTCTCCACGTTTTTTTGCTTCAAGCATTTTACTTACACGATATCGATAACGCCAGCCAACATGTGGTTTATTTTCCTGTTAAAAAAATCAAAATAAATAAGATATTCTAAATAAAAAATATGTTCATTACATCTGTAACTTCTGGTGTTTCTTCAACTTCTGATGCAAATGGTTTATCAAGAACACGTTTACGTCGTCCACTTAATTCTTGTGGTGTTTTACGTTTAATTGCTTGTAAACCTAATTTTAAACGTTGTTCATCTTCACGAATATTTTCACGTAATGAATCAATATAACGTGATACACGATAACGAAATTGCCATCCAACACGTGGTTTAAATAACCCACGATCATATGAACGAACAATTTCAGTTGGATTAGTTAATTCATCGAAAGATTTCATTCGACGACGTCCACTGGTTTTCTCATCATCACTTTTTTCATCATTATCATCATTATCATCTTCGATTTTTACTACTTTAGTTTTTTTTACTTTTTTTGATGATAATAATTGACGTTTAGGAACAAAATTTTGAGTAATCAATACAGAATCAACAATATCTTGATTAGATCTAAATAAATTATAAATACTATTAGGTGATTTATTGAAGAATGGGATAAAAATAAATAAATGCAAGCTATTTGTCTATGAGCATATGTCGGAGATTTACAGTAAGAAACGTATTCTATATAATGTATCCCAAGAGAATAGTAGCGATTATTTGAAACAATTAGCAATAACAGAAGTCAACTATCCGTAAAAAAAGCATTCTGTTAGGAAAGAATAATTAATAACAGAAGCAGATTTTATTTTTTTCTCATTCTTATAAAATGAACTATCTATTCATAAACGAGAACAACTTTTTTTTTTATCGAGTACTTCTATTATGCATTATTAGTAATGAATGTACTTGGTTGTATACAAGTATATAACTGCCTTGAAGATAAATATCTCGAATCCTGACATTTTGGTGGCGAATATGGTTTCTATGAAAATAACGTTTGCAAATGTCATCTTAGGTGTAATTGAAGTATCAACAGAAAAATAGAAAGGCAAAAACATTTGTCTGCTATTTTCCCATATGGATAATATCCATAATATAGTAACGATGTATGTAAATCGTCAATATGTGAACGAATACAAAAAATTTGCTTTTTTGCTAAGATTATAAAATATATTTCGATTATTAAATAAACTTACATGTCATTATCAATTAAACTTAATTCATCATCGTCACTTTCAAGTTCAAGAAGTTTACGTTTTGTAATTTTTGTATCACTTGCAGAACTTGTTTTCTTATTATTTTGTTTTGAATTTGTTGTTTGTTTAGATTTTCCTCCTCCTATTCCTTTATTATTATGGCCAGTACGTTTTGTTTTTTGATCATCTAAATAGCGTGATATACGATAACGATAATTCCATCCAACTTTTGGTTTATTTTCATCTAAATTTGTCTTTTTCTCTTTTGATGATGTTGTGTGCTTACTTGTTTTGACAGATAATAATTGTCGTTTTGATATATAGGCAACAGATGATGACAAATCATTGAAAGGTAGAACCAACAAATCTTGAATATCTAATTGATTTAAATAAAGATTTAATTCATCATTACCAACAGAAAGTAATTTTCTTGATGGACGATGTTGTTGTTCATTTGTTGAAGAAAGAATTTCATCTTCATCATGAGTATGATTATTATCGAGTACATCATCAGATAATTGAAACATATTTTTAACAAAATAAAAAGCTCGACCAACTACAGAATTATTTTTATCATCATCATTATCAATATCCATATCTAATGATTCAGATTGTATTTCAATAACTGGTGGTGATTTTTCTCGTTTTGTTTTTGTATTAGTTGGAGGTGGAGGAGAAGAAGTTTGTCGTTGAATTGGTGGTGGTGGTGGTTGTGGTATTTCATCAGCGTCGGATTGTGTTTTACTTGATTTGACAATGGTTGGTTTCTTTTTTTTGTTTTCATCAGGAACAACTTTCGTATTGCTCTTGGAAGTTTTTTCCTTTTTCGATTTCTTTTTATCATTTGTAGGCAAAGATTTAACTTTGGTAGAAAGTTTTTTCTTTGCTTCACCTGTAATATTTTTTACTTTGGATGAAATTGAATTTTTCTTCTTTGTTTTTTTAATATCTTTTGCTGGTATTAAACTATTTTCATGAGTAATATGAAGTAATGCTCGACATCGATCACGTTCATGATCATCATCAGCAACAGCTACTAAATCTCGAGTTTTAGTAGCATGTTGTGTTGTATTTTTCTTTTTTGTTGAACGTTCTAATGAAGCTTTTTTCTTTTCTAATTTAAGATTTCGTAATTTTGCTCGTTCTTTTTTTGTAAACAATTTTGATTTAAGTAAATGACTATAAGAACGAACTTTTTGACCGAGTTCACTTGAAGTTTGCGGTTGAATGTAAACGGTTAGTTCATGTGTCTTGTCTGTTCGAGCATTTTTTGATGAAGGTGATGATTTTGAAGATGAAGAAACAGTTTCAGCTTTCTTCTCTCCAAGAAGAGGAAAGGTAAATCCATCAAAAAATAATAAACGTCGAGAAGTTGGACATGAATTTAACTAAGAAAAAAAATATATATATAGAAAATAATCAAATAAAATTTCTTACTTCAGCTTGATCAGCTACGGACAGTAGTACACATAGAAAAAGTGTGAAGTAAAATAGGGAAAGTTCCATGGTTTTGTTTTAATGATAATTTATGGTTAAACACATCCAAATAGCTTTCCCTGTATCGATATATATATATAAAACGTCGTTGACTACTGCTGTTGCTGTTTTGGGCGTTGATAACTAGTAATGATGATCGTATCGTTGATGTCTGTCTTATATGACATCCAACCGTGTACAACGAATGATTACCAATATAGAAGAAATGTACGTCTTCTATTATTCTCTATAGGTTTTCTTTTTTCTTCTCTTTATACTTGTATATTTTCTTAATGCCTTTACAGTGTATTATCTCTGTGTCCTTCTGTTGTTGTATGTTAAAAGCAAGAACGTATTAAATACAACTTATAAATGTATATATAATGATAATTGAATATTCACAGTCAGTGTCAATCAAATAAAAGACCGTCAATATCAGCGGTACCTTTAATAAACAATAGAATATTTCCTATTGTTTTTGTTGTTTGACGGTAAATATAAATGCGGAGATAAGATCTATCTCCACGAATAATTTCGAGGTTTATGTAAGAAGAAAAAAAAATCCGAAAGATAAATTATGTTGTTATAAGATAAAAAACAAAGATCCATATGTACATCTTTTCCCATATATATATTTTTTCTTCTTCTTTCTTATTCTCTTTGCATATAATTATCACTGATTCCGTCTTCATATTGGATAGAAAGAGACAAAATCAACAAGCTATAAAAGACCTTCCTCCAATACCACTAGAAAAAGAATAGAACGATATCCTGTGGTTTTCTTTTTCTTCTTCCTTTTTTCTCCATAATGATAATATATAACCAAATACCAACAATAAAAACAACAGCAATTTCTATTCGCTCTTCTGATATCTATCAACACTAGGCATCTGAATAGTTAATATACATATATCTGCAAACCGCATAGTAGAAGAAAACGAGACATAGACAATCAAGAATAGGGCGGATACAAAGATTAACATTTTTTTATTAGATATTTTGGCATATTGGAAGCCAAGAAAAGGATAAAATTGTTATAATGGTATATTTATGTATATATATATATGTATATGTATATAACTAAAAACAAAACAAAAATTAAACTGAACCAAATTCTTTCATCCATTCTTCATATTTCTTCAGCATGTCTACTGAAACCGATGATGAAATTTTCGATAAAGCTTTTTCGAAATCATCCATTGTTATTGGTGATAAAAATTTTTCTTTAAGAACTTGAGCTTGTTCTTGAATTTGTGTTATACTTAAATTTTCAGTTGCACGACGCATTTGCATCATAGCTGCATCTCTAAAAATATATTTAAAGAAAAAAAAAAGAATTCTATTTTATTTATCAGTTTGTACTAACCGACAAACACCGGTTATATCTGATCCTGAATAACCTTCAAGTTTATCTGCAACTGCATTTAAACTAACACCTTCGGCAATTTTCATCTCTCCAAGATTAATTTCAAGTAATTGTTGTCGTGTTTCTGTATCGGGTAATGGAATATAAATACGTTTTTCTAAACGTCGCCGCATTGCATCATCAAGATCCCAAGGATGATTTGTTGCACCAAGTATCATGACTAGTTTCGATGCATCATCACCTCCTAATAAAATAAGAAAAATAAAAAAAAATTAAATATAAATTATTTACCAACAGCACCGGTTACACCATCCATTTGTATAAGTAATTCAGATTTAAGTCTTCGACCAGCTTCATGTTCATTCGATGCACCACGTGTTGAACATAAAGAATCAATTTCATCAATAAATACTGTTGATGGAGCATAGAATTTTGCTAATTCAAAAAGTACACGAACAAGTTTTTCACCTTCACCATGATATTTTGATGTTAAATTCGCGGCAGTTATATTAAAAAATGTTGTTTTACATTCTGTTGCGACTGCTTTAGCTAACATAGTTTTTCCCGTACCAGGAGGACCAAATAATAGAATACCCTAATTAATTCAATATAATTTTTTCTATGAACATAAACATAATTATATACCTTCCATGGACGAAGGAGACCTTTGAAAAATTCTGGTACAACAAGTGGTATTACAACAGCTTCTTGTAATAATTTTTTCGCAGCTGTACAACCAGCAACATCTTTCCTAAAAATTCATTTTCAATTAATTGTTCTGCTTGATTAGGAAAGATATACTTGAATTATTGTTTACTCAACGGAAATATATTTGCTATGCTCGTCCTTTCTTTGATCGATAGAACTATTTTGAAGACAGATCTTTTCTAATCAAGCGAAAGAATCTATCAAAGGGGAAAAAAGTCATTCTAGTAGTATTAGCACAACGATTGTAAAAGTCCTATGGTCAGTTGTCATATTGGATAGAACTGCGAAAGATTCAAGGTGAAATATTTTGAGAGTATAACATACCATTTAATATTTGGATTTTTTTGCACAATATCACGTTCTAAACCTTCAACTAGATCTTTTTCGGAAGCTATAGGTACATATTTTTTTTCCTAGAAATACAAAAAAAAATGTTTTTTCATATTAGAAATAATTAGCATAATTATTTACTTCTTTATTATTAACAGCTTTATTATCACGTTGTTTTTGTTTATTATCAGGAACACTTGATGGAACTCTTCGCCCTCTATTATTATTATCATTGCTCGCTGGTCTTTGATCACGATGTACGGGTTGAGGACGAGAAACAGGTGGTTGACGTCTGTAAAAACAAGAATTTTTCTATAAAAAAAAATCAATCTTATATATTAGATTTTATACGGTTGAGGTGCATGAATTGGATTTCGATGATCAAAACCAAAATCACGTACTGGTGGTTCACCAAATGCTAGATTATTAAAACGATCATTATCATTTATATTACTAAACGCATCACCACCGGCTGCTTTCCTATCGTTACTAATATATTTTGATAATAAATTTGTTTGAATTTCTCTAATCATTCGATCATGTTCTGCAGTTGATCGAAGTTCTCGTTCAAGTTCCGCGATACACTATATTTCGAAAAAATAAAGATTAATTATTATAATTCATATTTAATAACAAAAATTAACCTCTGAACCACGTTTTTTTTCAACTGGATTTGATAATGTTTGACAATAACGTCGAAGTTTATCAATAGCTATTTGATAAAATGTCACACCTTTTTGATAATCACCATCTAAATAAAGTATTAGATATTTTTAAAATATAAATATTCAAGAAAATATTCATTTACACATATAATATTCACGAGCTTTTCGAGCTTCTTCTTCGAAATCCATTGGATTACTTGCTACTGCAGTCATTTTTCGGAAAAATGTGAATAAATTTTTTTATTATTAGTAATAGTTATAATCGGTTGTCAAGACGGTTCAACAGTGAATGGCTGAAAAAGAATACCAACAAAATATATAACTTATCTAATATGTATGTAAGGACATCTGGAGTAAAAGTGTTCGTTTTTATGGGAAAAATTATGATGTAGACAAATAGAAAAGAACTTATTTTTTCTAAACATATATATTAAAATATCTTTTGATCCGACATAATAATCTTGGAGTATGTATTTATTAGTTTCAAATCACAAAAAAATTATGTACCTGATATATTCATATAGGATCAAATTTCTTTCTTTTTGTTGATTCAAGGTTATCAACTCAACTAAAAATTTTAATCGAATATTTTCTACATATGAAGTTAATATCAATTATGAATAATTAAAACAAAGATAATTTTTATATAATGCATTTCATGAACGTATCGGTCATGTAAATAAATCAACTATAATATTTTATTCAATTGAAGGACAATTAATGACTATATAACATGTTTAGTCTGACATATAATGATATTAGAAAGATTTATAGCAGATGGTATATAATGAATGACCTTATGCTTTATCTCACATATTATTATCATAAAATGTAATTCGTAAAGTTCTATAATAGACAAGAATCAAACTCTGATGAATTTAGAAAGGAAACAATTGATATTTTGATGTTCTCTATTCTTAACTGATTATATATTTCAATTTATATATACAAACATGAATTCTTTATTATAGATGATTCGTCACTTTAAAAAAAAAGAGATAAGTCAGTTTTGTACTTTGAACAACAAATATATACATATTTATATAAAAAGAGATCACAAGAAATAATTGTTTATAGGAGATTCTTTTTTTTTTGTTTAATGCGGTATAAAATCTGAATCATTATCTGTTGATAATCTATGATGACCAGCTGTTGCTTTTTTTCCTTCTAGACGCGCTGAACGTGCTCGTTGTCCTTTACTTTCTGATATTTGTGTTACTAATGTTGCGCCACCGCCGCCACCACCACCACCACCATTTGTTGGTATTAAACGTTTTTGATTATTTGCAACCGTTGATACAGCTGCATCGATGGATTTAGGTAATAAAACATTTTGTTGTTCAATTTCATTCTGATAACCTTTACGACGATGTCTACCATCACGTTTAATATCTTGATTATTAATTATTGTTGAATTTCCTATTGCACGTGCTTGTTTTGTTCCACCAAAATATGGATGTGTATCATATACAGGTGGAATTTGTAATTGTATATCATATGTTTGTTCAGGATCAGCTGATGAATTTTGAGGTATTAATGGTGCTTTAGCTGTTGATGTTGTAAATTCAATTTCAGGATCTTCAATATCAGGTGCTGATGGTAAATAAACAAGTTGATCATTAATATCATCATCATCACTTGATACTAATGCTTCAATACGTTGTTCAGTAACAACATCTAAGTCAATATCATCATCATTAGTTTTTTTTAAATTACCATTTAAATCTAAACGTTGACGTTTATTCGGTGAATTTATTGTATCTAATCCATCTAAACTACGATCTTCATCTTTAATATCAAATTCTGATTCACGTTCATGATATTCAACATTTTCTTCAAGTTCACGAAAATCAGGTGCAAATGCTGACCAATTTTCAACTTGTGAATGTGACCATATTGATACAACACCACTTGATATACTTGCGATTATTGGACGTACAGGATGCCAACATACATCAGCTAATAATTCACCTTTTGTACCATGTAAAATTTTAACTAAATTACCCGATACAGTTTCCCATATATATAATGAATGTTGTCGAGATGATGCACCACATATATATTCACCATCACCTGACCAACAACATTTTCTCCATAACGATTTATTAACTAAATCTTGAAGTTTTTGTTTTGGTTCAAGATCACGTACATTACCACATGATAACATTTCACTATAATTATAAATTCGAATTATACGATCACTTGTATTAATTAAACAGTATTGACCTAGATATGAAAAACAAAAATAAATTCTACTCTCTCTCTCGTCATTTTAAAAATCTTTACCTCTTCGAGGAATTTCAATATGTCTTAAAACTGTATTTGCATTTGTTCCTGTTGTAATACGAAATGATGAAATTGTTTTTAAATCCGGAAATGTTTTAACAACAATTAATCCACGATTATTTCCTAATATAATATGTTCACCTTTTCTATCAAATGTTGATATAATATCATTGGGTTCATCATCAATTGTAACTATTGTATGTTTACCAGAATTATCAATTAAAACAGGTGAATGTTTCATTGGACATATAAGTAAATAGGATGAATTACGTGGATGAAATTGTACTTTAAGTATAGGTGATTGTATACATGATATACGTGTACGACAACGACCTGTTGATGTATACCATATACAAACAGTATTATCTGTTGATGATGTAGCAATTAAATCTGATTTTTTCGACCATGATATGGAATATATAGGTGACCAATCTGCACATATTATTTTTGCTATACCACGTGTTAAAAAATCCCATATAACAAGACGACCATCTGAACAACCAACAGCTAACATTGAACCTTTAAAATCATAGTTTTATTAGAAAACAAACAAAAAAAAGAAGGTTTTTTTCTATACCAATTTTATTAAAAGAACAGCAAACAGCCATCGATGCACAATCAAGTGTGCCATCGAATTCTTCAGGATAATTTTGTTGAAATGTTGTTAATAATTCAATATTCATTCTAACATTTATAGATTAAACTTCTTGTGTATTAGATTAGTAAAAAAAAAAATTCTTTTATTATAAGCCGACAAGTAGAGACAATCGATTTCAATTCTATATTTGATTGATTTATTAAATAAACGAATAGAAATTTTAATATTCAATATAACAGATGTCGCTTAGATTTAAAACGAACATTTACTCATTTATGTTATTTAATTTCGAGTATAGTATGTATGCTTGTTATTGTGATTTAATCAATAATGATGTGTCTTTTTTTGATTGTAGGAGGATACGGTATTTTGATTGTTAGATATGTATATATTCAACAGAATGTAACTCAAATAGGTAATTGCATATAGAATAAAAACAAGGTATGCATTTAGTTTTATTTTAGATTCTAAATTATTATCAAAACAACAAAAATGAATCTAAATCATCTTTCATCAATGGCTTATAATGTCACTCAAAAACATGGTACAGAACCAGCATTTTCAAGTCCATTACATAATAATAAGAAAAAGGGTACATACACATGCGTAGTTTGCAATATACCATTATTCAGGTTTGAAATAAATTATTTTTTCATTCAATATTTTTTTTCTTCAAAAAACTTAGTTCAACTCATAAATTTGATAGTGGTACCGGTTGGCCTAGTTTTTATAGTCCATTGAGTGAGGCTAATATTGCTTCAAAAACAGATTATGAAATAGGTTATCCTCGAACTGAAGTTCATTGTGCAAAGGTATAGAAGAAAAACAAAATATTTGATATAAAAATTCTAATTTTTTATTTTTTTGTTAAGTGTGAAGCACATTTGGGTCATGTTTTTAATGATGGTCCAAAACCTACTGGTCTTCGTTATTGTATTAATGGTGTTTGCTTAAATTTTATACCGCAATAAAATTTATTTATTTTATTGAAATAAAAGAATTTAATTTTTTTTCTCATTGTTTTAATAATTTTGCATGGGATCATTAGGTATAGAATGTGCTATGTAATGATTTATAGGTATTGGTATACAGTTTAAATCATATTGAGGATAATAATAATTGACTTGAGGTATTTCATTAATGATTAATTGAGGTTGATTATAGGAATAAGAATAATTTTGATTAGGAATTTCACGTATATGTCTTAAACCATGTTGAGGAGTATTTCGAACTAATCGACATTCAATATGATGAGTATTACCAACACGATCTTGTTCAACAGCTTGATTTATTTTCATAGCAATTGATGAGGGGATATTTTTATCGATTATAATATCTTCAATAGGATAATCATATTCGTAATTGGAAAAATGATTTCGTGATTGAAATGATGAATGAGGTCGATTTGTACGTTGAGTAAAAGAAGAACGAACTGGTCGAGATGATGGATTATGTAATTGACGATTTAAATTTGCAGGAAGACCAATGAGAGTTGAATGAGGACTAATTCGTAATGGTGGTCGTTCGCGATATATAAGAGGAGATAAACTACGTCTTACAATTGGCTGAGGAATACGATTTATCGGTGGTCGATTAGGAGTTGTTCTAGAATGTAAACCATCTAGAGATTGTTCAGGAGTAGAATTCAATGGTACACGAGGAGTTGGCTCATTAGTTCGGGGTTGAAATGGTGCAAGTGGTGGTAAAGTAGAATTATTAATAGGAGGATTATTGAAATTTACTGGAGGATTTATATTCGTATTGATATTATTTGGTAAATTCGATTGATTACCATTTGTTATATTTCTCAATTGAGTATTATTATTATTAGGATTAGATAAAATTAACGGACGATCTTCATTTAATAGTTGTTGTGTACCATTTACCTAAAGAAGAAAAAAACATCAAACTAATTTACTAATACAAACTATTTAACCTGTCTTTGCGGTTGCGTTTTTTGTGATCTATCATCACCTGTTATATCTTCTATGTCGTCGTCATCAGTACTATCATCATCATCATATTCATCCTTAATAAAATAATAATTATTAGTAAATAAAAATAAATAAATTTATCTAATACAGTTCTATTACGCTTTGATTTTTTTCGTTTATCGTATGGATTGACTACCGTGTCCGGTGTTGTTGGTTTAGAACTGAGAGAAAAATAAATATATATACAATTATAAAGAAAAAAAAAGCTATTTCACTGCATATTTACCGACGATTATTCCTATTAAAAACACCTCGTACACGTTGAAAAATTTTACTCATATTCTATGTATAAGAGTACAAAACGTATTTTTATGTTTATCTCTAAGTTAAACATGAAGGAAGACAATATTTTGAAGTTAGAATGATATACAAATCGTTCGTCCGTGGCCAAAACAAAATACACAAAACAGAAACATGTAAACAGTTAATTAGTCATCTATTGTGAATCATTTATATATAGTAATAATAATAGATTGATTTCTATTTTAAGAAAATATTTTTATTTCTAGAATTATATCCATCATAAAAAAAAACAGATATATTTTATATTCATGCACTTAATCTCTTTCCGTCCGATATTTCTTCATCGTTTAAAACAACAATTATGGACAATAAAACCATGTTGGCGTACATTAACGGATACTTGTACTTCACAAGAACCATTTAAAATAGAAGAAGAAGATTCTATTCCATCAATATCAGTTATAAATGATTCATTAATGCATTCAATTCAATCATGTTCATCTTTATCAACATTATTTCCACTTGTTCGTGCTAATTTACCACAACATCGTGCTCATCACATAGCAGCAGCTTTACTTCGAGCATGTAATATTGTTCGTTCATGTGCTTATTTTCATCCAATAAATATGGAAATCTATCGTAAAAATTTATTAGATCATCCAATGTTTAATTTATTATGTCATTTATGTGAACATCGTTTACTTGAATTAAATTTTGAAGATCATGTTAATATAATGTCATCATTAGTTAAATTAGATATACGTATGTCATCAAGTGAAAGTCCATTTCTACGTCATCTATTTACTGAATTAGCACAAACAGAATATATTGAAAAATTTGATTTAAATTTATTAAATCGTTTTCTTATTGCATTAGTCAAAAAATCTAATCGACATTTACGTAAGTATTTAATTTTTGGGTTAACTCTCAGACGCCTTTTAGGGGCCCAATCGGATCTACAACGCTGATTTTTGTTTTCGAATTGATCTCTTCTCTAATCGCTATTCTTCTAACAATGCACGAAGACCATATGAAATTTCTCCGATGACTCTTACAGGGGAAAAATTAAGGGGTGGGTCTACACAAACCCCGTGACATCTTTGATGTTATATATGTGATTTTGTTTCTTGTTCAATCTGTCCTCTGTTACTTCGAAGGTTTATCTCCTTATATCTTGAGGGTGTGGGTGTAAGTAACTTTTCTGTACTCCACACCCACTCTCAAGATTACTTTAGCGTAATTGTATGTGGGTCTAGCGGGGGAGGGCATGAGAAATTTTGCACTCTCAAAGACTGCCTTTGCCATCTTGAGATTTACAATTTTTCGCGCTTTACTATGCGCCTGCCCTCCCCCTCCTCGGAGATGGTTTTTTTATTAAATCTATTCATTTTTAGTTCTTCCATTATATAAACCATTACTTGAGAGATTTCGTCAATTATTAATTCAAATTGGTCCTTCACATACACCAGCAACACTTAAATGTACAATTGGTATTATGCATCTATTAGGCATGGCTGTACCAATAACAAATACACAATCTGATGATACACAAGCACGTATGCTTAATTTAGAATTTTCTTCGACGAACGTTTTTTCTTTTATAATAGTTATTAACTATTGTATCGAATATAATTGATCAAAATATAGAAAAAATTGCTCCAATTGCTGGTCCAGATACATTTGTTCGTTTATTAACATTAGGTGGAATGTTTCCGGAACAAATGAAACGTTGGATACCACATGCATTTTTAAGTTGGACACAAAATTTACATCGAATATTATGGTTTGATCTTTATCTTATTCTCTCTTCAGCGAAAAGGTATTTTTTTTTGAATATATTGTTTTCTAAAATTAAAATCTTCTTCTTCTTTCTAGACATTTTCGTCGATTAAATGAATTATTTGATTTAGCTGTAACACGATGTATTACTGAATTTGATCAAAATCATGTACTTGTTGATCATGATGTACTCTATATGACATGTGCTTTATATAGATATTCGAAAATAAAATTGAAACTTCGATTAAATAAACGTTTACATAAATGTTTAGATAATTTTGATCCACATGAAATATGTCTTTTATATCAACATGTTAATCCTGATACATGCAATGATTGGGATTTATTAGCACGTATACATCAAAAATTAAAACAAATATCATTATCAAGTGAAGAGTGTAAAGAAGAAATGAACAACTAAATAAAAATTTTTCTTTTCATATTGTTTTAGATGAAGGCGATTTTTGGCCAATGCTTACTATATTAACTGAACATATTAATAAAAATATTGATTACTACACATCTGAACCAGCTGGAGCAGATTTTATAATGTATTTACGTGCAGAAATTGAACGTTCGAAATCAAGATCCAATGAAACATGGTTTATACGTGATCAACATCTAGCTATATTAACATTCTATTTAAAATATGCTTTAAGTGGTACTGCCATTCCAAATAATCTTATGATTAATGCAGATGCGATTATATCTCAAGCAGGTTTAAAAGATACTGGAACACTTCTTGCAGGTATAAATTATAGAAATTCAATAAATATAGGGATTCCTGAGAGTCTCGATCTTATTCATAGTCTAAATCAATCTCATCTAAAGTTAACGTTTATTTTCGATCAGTCTTTAGGGGTCAAAAGAACATCGAGAAACTTGATTGTTGTCTAAAAATATCGTATGAGAAGATCGGTCAAATAAATGGATAAAAAATAATGAAGAGGTGGAGTCTACTGGAAAAAAACGCATAAGAAACCGTTCAAAGATGAATACCAAGTTCAAGTCATTAGGAATGACACCAATAACATGATAGACTAAGATAAGGACCGAGAGGCTCGGACTCAATACATTTCTAAACCGATGTGAAACAATGCTTGAGTATCATTATATAAATAATTACTAAATAGTATTCTTCCCTTTCGAAGTTTATTTATTAAGTTAACATGTGGAGTACTATATTTTATTTAATCATTAAATCACGATCTTGTTTTTTTTTCTTTTTAGGATATTATAATGCTGCATCATTATTATCACCTGATGCTGCTAATATGACATTTCAACGTCAAATAGAACAAATTCATCGAATGCTTGTTCGTCATAAAACGGAACATTTATCAAATATATCAATATATCCATTTAGTCATTTAGTTAATTTTTTAAGTCATATAACATCATCACGTTATAATATTGACACACCATTATTAGAACCATTTTATGAACGTTTAAATTCATTTGATAATCAAACATCATTAAGTTTACGTGATGTTAATAATTTATCATTATTATTTTCACATTCAGCACGTCTTTATCCATCATTACTTGATTCAATGTGTTCAACATTGATTGATACACAATCAACATCATTGAAATTAATTGCAACATATTTTCGTTGCTTATATCGAGTTAATTATAAACCTGAACAAATCAATGATTTATGTTCATTAGCACGTCATCTTTATCAAAATAAAGATGAAATACGTTCAATTGATATGCTTTGGATAGCTACAGCAAATGCTGGTTTATTCAATCAAATTGATGAAGATTTATTAAATGATATTTTTTCATTATCATTTCTTGATAGTGTTGATCAAGTATCATTGAAAAAAAATGTTCTTCAACTTGGTCAACCATTATTTCGTTTAAATCAAATTGTTTGTATTGATCATCCTCAATTAAATATTCCTTGGTTTAATGATCGATTTGGATTAGAAGTTGCTTTACCAGGTAGAAATTCTATTCATAATAATAGTCACAAAATCTTCCCATCAAAGTTTTATTTGTATCGAATGATTATTCTCTAATATTCTCAAGGGCGTGCCGTGGGTGAGATGTCACGTTCTCCCTTCCTCCTGTTTTTATATTTTATATTGAAAATAGTAAAAGTATGACCTATGTCCACTGTACGTCATTGACGGATCTAGGATTTTGGAAGGGAGGGATGATACCTGAGTAGGAAGAGATAATACTTTAATGAAGGAGGCGATTTCAGCTAAAAACTATTTTTTGAGTCCAAGCGAAGTAGTGTGAACCTATTTTTTCGTTCATTTTTGCTGTAAAAAATTTTCTGAAGGGGGCGACCGCCCTCCCCCATAAATCCGCCACTGCTGACCGCTTCTTTACATCTCCCTGCACTCAGCACTTTAGTACACTCCTGAAGATTCTAATTGTATCATATATATTTTTCTTTATAGAGATGCGTCGTCATTGGTTACTTCGACATACAACATTTGACCATATTGAATCAAATTTAGCAACCATACTTGGTGGAAAAGAATATTTACAAACTCATACACTTTCTCCATATTTTCATGAAATTGGTAGAGTTTTTGTCTTCTTTAGATTCTTGAGATATATTTGTTAACATTCTTATTTAGATTTTGAATGTATTCTACGATTGGATAATCATCAACCTGTTCAATGTGATCAATTTAATACAATGAAAAATATAACTCGAGATAAAAAACTTGAAATTCCAGAAGGATGTGAACGGTTAGTTAATTAATATTTTCAATGAATGATATGATGTGTCTTGTTTTTGTATTTTTATCTAGGGTAGCAATTCAATTAACAACACCTAATCATTATTGTCATAATACAACACATTTTGTTGGTTCAGTTGAAGTTTCATTTCGTCATTTAAAAAAACTTGGTTATCGTCTTGTTATTGTAAGAATTTATTGCTAATTATAATAATTTATTTTTTATTTTTTCTTTAGCTTCCATACTATGAATTATCAGTAATTGAATCGTCGGCAGCTCGTTTTCGTTATTTGAATAACAAGCTGTTTAAAAATAATCAATAGGAAATATTTTGTTATGAAAAAAAAAACAAGTTATATGAATGCATTGTAATCGTTTAGTAGTTATTATGTTATACCGTTTTCTAATAAAACTATTGTTATGAAATATTTACGTTTTCACTATACACAAAAAAAGTAAAATATAGATGATGGATAAATAGTATTCATTAAATCAATACAATTATAAAACTAAGAAACATAAAAGTTGGAATTCTACTGATAATATCTTAGCTACATAAAATTACTCTTTGAGTAAATTTCTCTATATAATGCAAATTTATCGAATAGGAAATGTATCTGGTCTATATCTACTAAAAATTCGAATGTCATTTTCGCTTGTTAAAACGAAAAGACATTTATTATAGACAAAAACTAATCATCGATCTTATTGTATATGATCTTATAATCAAATTTATACTCTTTACTTCAGTCAACATGTCTTGGCCTCATTAATTATATCTGTTAGGTTTTCTTTGTATGTATGATGTTTAAATTTCTGTCAAAAAGCTATTATACTAAACTATCGTTCTTTATTATAAAATAATAATAAGCTAATCATCTTAAATGATACAAAAGAATAAGCAAATAACAAATGTTTTGATATAAACGATGACCTCGCTCATTAATTAGAGTATAGTCACTGTCATTTGAGTGATTAAAAAATATAAGCAATATTTACCTTTACAAATCAGTAATCGGAATGAAAAACATTCTGTAGTATGTAAGGTACTCTGTATTGCTCACTCAACCATATCTACACATAATATTGTTGGTTATTTTGTTTGATGCATCATATTTTGCGTATAAAAACGTTAATGAATAAATAATATTTTGATATATTCACTATTGTTAACTATGCAAAAATCAAAAAAATCCTCAAGTGATTTATCATCAATTTCTTCACTACTCTCTTCAAATGAACAGAAAATTCCAATTAGTGTTCAGAAAAGTCCATCAAAGTAAGTTTTTTAAATTAAATTTAGTTCATTTAATTATGTATATATTCATAAATCAATAGAACGTCTACTACATCTGACTATGAATATAAGGGTCGATTAGTAACATATGAACGACCAGTTCGTCAAAAATCAAAATTAAGCTCATCAAATTCAAATAGCTCATTTGTTTTTCCATCGCGTATTAATAAACATTCTCGATTAATGCATTCCAAGACTTCAGACACTTTTGATGATGAAGAAACTGAAGATACCACCGATCTCACTCGACCAGTAGGAAGAGTTCAAATAAGTGATCGACATGTTCGCGAAAGTATTCATTTCGAAATATTTTAAAATAAAATAAAGAATATTTTTGTCTCTTTTTAGTTTATCGAGTACCAACTCCACCACCTGAATTTAAACAAGTTTTCTATCGTGCTCGTTCACCTGAACCAAAAATAATCGAACGAATATATGTTAAACGTCCAGCACCTACAATTATTGAAAAAGTTATTCAAGTTCCACCAGAAACAGTTCAGATAATTAATAAAGAAAAACAATTACCTCAATTAAAACCAACTTTTCGTACAAGGTAACATACAAATGAATAGTTTCATAATAATTTACAATTAATTTTATTAGATATGTTTATTTAAAACCTGAGGATGAATATCAAGTTGAAGAACGAGTAGAAGTAAAACAAGAACCACAACAAGAAGTAACGGTTACAACCACTGAACAACAAGTTCCAGCTACATATGTTTATTCACAAACAACTGGTTGTTGTCCATCATTTATCGCCATTAACTCACAGCCATGTTTGAACCCTCAACCAGGTTGTTATGCATATAGACAACCGTATACATTCTTTCGTGGATATTCTCAATTCTAAAAGCAAACAAAATATTTATTTGTATCGCTTTTCGAATAATTGTATGTGCGCAAGCAAGCAGACAACTATTCTTTTAAGTATAAATACAAATAAATATCGATTTTTACTAATCATTATATCGTTGTTAAAATTATATTTAGTATTAGCATATATAAAAATTTTAATTGGACTAATAATTTTTCATTTTTATTAATACTATAATTTCTTCCATTTTCAAGACAAATTATTTACGTTTATCCTCGAAGATACTTTTGTTTTCTGACATATCATTTGTATTCCTTGTTTATTAGATTTAACAACTTTGAGGGTAATTACCTTATCTATGCTCAATCTAATCGAGATCTATTCGATCAGTATGCAAACTAGTTTTGCACTGAATTTAATATAGTGCATTACACGTTTTCTTAATCTATGTAATTATTATTTTCAAATTTTTAACGAAAATAGTCATTATAAATATAGTATTTTATTAAAAGTAAATGGGTGTCGGCGACTTGTTTTGACATTGTGAATAATATTTTTGAATAACTTCTATTTAAAGACAAGTATAGTCTTCCTTTTCGTACCACTCTTTGATTGAAATCGGAAGTGTTTCGCATGAGGAAAAAAATAATTTATAAGTAAAAACAAGTCACATAAATGCACACATAAAATAAATTGTCGATGTTCTGTGAAATTAAAGTAAATATTGAAATTATAAATTTCATATAGAAAAAGGAAGTAATCTGTAAAATCATGTTTGTATTACACTTTCCAACATACTTTTCATAATCAACTGTTCTAAAGAAATCTATCATATTCTTAAAAAGACTAATAATTTCTTTAGATAACATTCTTTCGTTTCGGTTTATTTTCATGATTAATACTCATACTATTATAGATAGAGGTTTTCTCTTTCACAATATTTCAGAAATACTCATATATACAATACTAGATATGTACCGAAGCGGAACCTTCGGCTTTGATCTATTGATAGAAAGAAGTACAGCCAAACTAAAACGAATGAGACACTCTTGAAAAAATGTCAAAATCAAATCAAGAATTATTCATTCACATACATTCTTATTCACTTTTCTATCTTATATTAACCACCATAGTTATCTATTACACATCCATACAGAAAATACTCCACAAATAATAATAAACTTAATGATTAAACAATATTCTACATTATAATACTATTACATATGTTATCTTTCATTTATCCTCAAATCTAACTATCGCATCTCCAAATATTTCACTAAATACCTTAAAACAAATTGATAGATATACAATTAAACTTCTACACTCATGTCAGAGTACACAACTTCTCAAATACGAACTAAACAATTACAGTCGTATCAGTTCATATAAGAATTCTCTCCTTCCAGATCATCATATTTTCCAAAGTATAAATAAACCTATTCAATCATTCATAATCTCTTGTTATTTCAATTTCAAATAGAATTTCATTTCAATTTTTTTAAGTAATTATTCACAAAATTCTAAATTTGTATGTTGACTAACTGGCGTCATCTTTGTTCTCTACGAATAACTGAATAACCAAAATAACCAACAATAAATATCTCAAACAAATCGAATCATATCTTTTCCAAAACTTAACATTATTCACTAAAATCTTCATTTTTTATTGAGAACATTTATATTAATCAAAATAATAAATCTATTTTTGATTTAATTTAATTTAAACATAAAAATGTCAAGTGAAATTCGTTGTTATTTATTTGATAACAATAATTCTGG